AGCATCACCCGTGAAGGTAGTCAGTGGTTGGACATACTAGGTCGGTTTATGAAGATTCGTTACTCCGATCGATTAGACATCCTCACTTACCCATAACTTTCAATTCCAGTTCTTATAATATGGCGGGAGGTTATCAGAACTCGAATTAATGCACTGTTGTCTGTTCCTGTAATGTGCCCATAATCAAGGGAATCTGTATCTGTTCTAAGGATTTGTTAGATAACAACCCAAAGTGGCTAATGCTGCTCAAAGGGTATCTAGATTGGTCAAGTCACTGCTTATTAACTACTTAGGATCAGACTCAGCATTAGTGAAGATCCGTTCTAGGACTCATCTGGTACATTCCTTGCTTATTGAATTGACAGTTGCGTCTCTGTGCTAACGTGGTATGGCAACCTGAAGCGATTTACTTACGTACAAAGTTCTACGTTGTAAACGACCGATTCCTTGCTTGTTACTCACAGTGTTTAAAAACATTTCGTCCCTCAGTAGCTGGTTGGTCTCTAGTTGGAGGATCAATTACTTATAAATCAAGCTGTGGTACTTACTTTTCAGAGTAACCGATATCGAGCAGCATTAAGAGGCACCATTTAATATAGATAACACTAACAGTTCTTTAAAAAGCCCTAAATGAACAAATAACTCCTTGATTAAGAACCTTAAGTAGATTAACAAGCTTTGTTATATCTTTTGGTAATATATCGTTGGAAATCCTCTTAATCAACCAAGTGGAATGCGAATCAGTGATTTGACTGTTTAGCGGCTTACGTATTTCTCGAAGGAAGGAAGACACTCGATCTACTGATTTTTGTAGACTCGGTTATACATAATTCTCGATCATTGTTCAAATTATTTGGTTTAATAATGCATATCCTCTTCATTGATAGCCTTGTTGTCCTTGTATGAGAAACTAAAACCTATCAACCATCTTACTGTAACTATGATTATTCACTTATTAATTCGTATGGCTGCCACTAAAAATACCATCTCACTGTTTCACTGACTTTGTCATTCCTTAATTTTTTGAGTTAAACCAATCTGATACTATGAATTTTTTGGATGTCAGCGCTATTTCATTCAGACTCCCTCTTCCTATAGACTTTTTACATAGTCTAAAGTTTCAGTAAGCTCCATAACGCAACGTATGTAAGGTTTTCATCTGGCATGATTTGCTTTTAAGTTCCCAAGTTCAAAACTCAGTAGATATGTTAATTTAAAGATTCATGAAACTGATTAGTATGATTCTAGATACTCTCAAAATAGATCATTAAGTCAGGCTAGATAGAAAAATGCTAACTGAATAATCAAACTTGAACTTTTGATTACGTTTTGAATACATAATTTACAATTATGATCATCTGTTTTTGACAAACAAGGCCAGTAGTTACTGGAAATAATATTGGACGTAAATATGAAATGAAAAATAACGTTTTTGGCCAGTTATTGATTCATTGAGTTAGTTGACAAAATTGTCAGATTTTATGGCTATATCAGTTTGATAATCTATGTTAACTAGTTCATAGTTATTTTGCTCAAATATTTTCATGTCTATCTAGTTCTACATTCTTCTTAACTGTAGATATGCAGTTTTAAAATACCTTAATTTTTTGTATATTATTGAGTATAAATCGTTTCAATTAAAAATCACAATACCCCCTGTCTGTCATGATGAAGTAAAATAATTTTTGTGACTTTTAAATCATATGCTTCATTATTTCATACGTGGTTTTAGACCTCTGATCGATTAAGTGGTTTTTTTAGCAATCTTTTCATTATGTACGTCAATTATTTTCGTTGATGTTTTTATTGTTTCTATCTACTTGTGATTCTCATCAGGTTGCTCAGAAAAAAGGTTTACCCCACGTTTTTTATTGCCAACTATGGCGATGGCCAGATTTACACACTCAGCACGAGTTACGACCTATCGCTACTTGTGAATATTCTTTCCAATCAAAACGTGACGAAGTTTGTATCAATCCTTATCACTACCGAAGAATTGAAAATCCAGGTTTGTATAAGCTGTTTTATTTTAGTTCACAACATTGATTGCTATGTTTGATTAAGTCTATATCATATGTAAAATTTCGTATATCTCTTGGCGAAATTATTCGCAATCCACGACTGAGCTGTCAAAGTATACTTTAAAATGAAATTGATTTTAAAGTAATATAATGTAGAAAGTTACTTTAATGTCCATTATTCATAAATATCGGTCTGTTAACTGGTTATGAGCTCTACACTTCTATGAAAGCAAACATTTTTGTTCGTCGTATCTTTATCGAAATGATTTATAATAACAATGATTCGTCACTTGCGTCATATAGAATATTACCGTCTACTGCTAAACTTTTCACTTGCTTTTCGAGAATGCTTATTGATACGAGTTTAGTACGAAGTATACTTCTATGGTAAACTAGTGTCTAATTAATCTATACAACATTATATCATATGACAAATACACATTAAATCAATTGTTTTCATTTTCAGATTTATTGAAACATAATCTGAACATGCTTTATCGAGTCAGCTAATAATACACTATCAAATCAAGCTGAATGAAAAGCATGTAATATGTGCTAGCTACGGATGTCCATGTTTAAAGATTGCAACTCTTATCGAACTATCTTCGTAATTTACTAGGTTATGATTATAGATGTCTTAGATACACTGCTCACATAAGTTGGCATCACCGAATGACCAATGCTGAGGTTAGTTATAGGGTTCTAGACAAACATTGGAAATAAGTTGATGAGGACATAAGTCTTCATCGACTTAGATGACTGGGGCATGTTTAACGTATCCCCAACCGCCACCTATGTAGACGCACGATGTTTATTGTTGTGGGGATAGGTTTTAAGGAAGATAGGGTCGATCAGTATGTTATCAATCTATGATTCTTGGCAGTTGTACTGAACCGTGATGGCAAGTTAAGACAACCTAGTTAGAATCCATGTGATTATTGTGACTCATAGTCCAGTGACAGTGCACACGTATTCACTCTTCTCTTAGATGTTTTTCTTTAAAATGATCCTATACGTTTTATTCTGCGAATTACTCCCTTTCTAAATCATCGCTCATATCGAATTTTTGTCATTACTACTGTTACTGTTGTTAATTTGACTACTCCAGCCGATGATTGTATGTAAACTTGAACTGATGCACATACTCGCCAGATTCTACCTAGCTTGTGACTGACTGATTTCACTGTGCCTAAACATACGTTGATAGGCATAGACTCTGTTTTCATTATTTTTCTGCCCTACAGTAGTAATCAAATATATACTTTTTAACATTGTTACTCAGAAGCTACCATGTTTTTCGAAATTCTATCCCTACAATCTTTTTCATCAATACCTTTAATAATCAAACTAATGTGCCAACAATTCCATGGGTATTTCACATCCTAATGGAGAGAAATTTAGCTTTTGTCTTTGTTTTAAGTTGGTCTTACTAGCCATATTACACAAACTTCTCGACTACTTTTTATTGCTCACCACAAGTAGATTAACGGAAAGAATAGGTCAATGTCTTGTGCATTTTACCATCATCTAAGCATGATGATATGTGCCAGTGAATAAGTTAAACATAACCATTGGCAAACTTATTATAACCTTACGATGATCACATGCATTGTTATTTATGTATTTTTTTGTGTGGTGTACACTAAACATTTGAATTGTTGTACTGATGATCCGCTTACTATGTTTTACTGTTTGATGTTAGATTGTCTATTATTTATCAAATATATTAAAATTCCGTTCCGCCCACTCTAAACAAGCTTACACGGTTGATATTGTTACTATTATATAATAGTCATTAAGTATTAATTCGTTACTTTTATTATAAATTGTAGTAATCAAAAATATAATAATTATCATCAAGACTACTTATCTACTTGGAATGTTTATCAAAATAATGTTACAACAGCATGTCAATGGTGTTGTTTAATTAATCATTCTCACTAACTCATCACATAAATATTTATATTTTCTTTTTCCCACTGAAAAATCTCTTTTTCTCAATAGTATAACTAGTTTCAATAACTAAACTGAGCCATAAGTCTGTGTATGTCGTATAAAAGTAGATTGCTGAACCTAACAGGCGAGTCACATGCCAAATGTGTAACCTATTTAAATCGACTAAGAATAGATTTCAGCCAACATGTCTGTTTCTTCTCACTTCGCCTGTTTCAGTTTAAACAGTCAGATAGTTAGTATTGAAAGCTCTCACTCTAACTATAGCGCTCAAAGTTTTATACGCAAACTGGCTTGACGAAGCCCAGTGTTATTATGAGTTTGATTACATCTGTGTGTGGAATTTTTTTCGCTTATTGAAACCTATCAATTACCTTAAATTTCAGTTGTGTTTTGTATCATCATTAAGGTTTTTTTCATGAATTGTTTTCATTTCATTTGCCTACTGCATGAAATAAATATAACTTGGTCTTATTCTCATTATAGAATTTGACTGTTCAAGTTGTAATATCAAATGAAACTTCCTGTCTTTTTTTCTCTTTTTTGGTAGTATTTCGCAATTATAAACTTGTAGTTTAACTATATATATTTTGGTAAAAATTAACTCATTCATTTTTGTGTATTCATAGTTCTTCCACCAATTATGGTTCCTCGTACAGTTAACAATGGGACTTCCGGAATCAATAATGACAACACACATCGTGGTGTGACCGAATCATCCGCTGAACGTTATGGAAGAGGTTCATCTTTCGGGTCACATCATTCTCGATACTCTATGCACAATCAGTATCAACAAGGACTTCAACAACAACAACAGCAGCAGCAGCAGCAGCAACAACATCATCTAAATGCTTTACAGAGTCATCATCCCTCCAATGCTGGATTAAATGACCCTATAATGATGGGAGATGATTGTGGCTCAGAACCGAATAGTTTAGCTGCTCTCCTAGCTCCTCCATCTAAACAACCTAGGCAACATCTTGCTACAGATGCTGTGACAGCTGCTGCTCTAGCCAGAGGTGATGCACTTGATGCATATGCTGTGGCTAGTCGAGCAATGGCTGGTTTAGAAAATGTTGGAAATGTTCTCGGTGGAACACATCCACCATGCGTGAGCCTTCGAGAGGTAAATCTTATAGCCAATTTTAAATATTCACTTGTGATTTATAAGCGGTTGGTTACGTACATGAATTTAAAAATAATAATCATGAAAAGACCTATCTTTTTTGTATGTTATTCTAAAATTATTACTAAATTAAACTGTGATAAAGTAGGTGTCTACCACATGCAAAGAAAAATATTTCTTTATGTGACAAGTTTTGATTTCATCATTCATTCATTAGTAGGACCCCTGACATGTATGTGTGTCGGTTCAAATTATCACAGATGCAGGGCAGTTATGGAAAATTTATTGGATCAAATGTGTAAAAACCAGAAGTAATCGTATAAACGTTAGTAAGAAATAAAACGTCACAAATATTATTTGAAGGAAACAGATGAAATCAAATGTGAAACTCATTTTCAACAGGAAAATAAAAGTGAATAGATTCTCTGCACCACTACAAATAACTTCGAGCTTCGACACCTAAAATCGTCAACCATAAATTATAATAATCACCACACAAACTCCATCTAGTAAGTATGTGTCTCTCCATGTGGGTCAGACCAGCAGTTAGTGACTTCATTGACTGACGCAATGAATTTCTTTGGTCACTCATAATCTTTTTGTCGACCTACTCCTTACTCTAGCTAAACTAATATGTCATTCTAAGAGGTAGCTGAGAATCGTTAACATTGCCAACCACTTCAGTCGATAAAGTTTTACTGCCTCACCTATCAACCTGCTATGCATACCCAAAAGACTACGTTTTGATTCGCTAACTAATTTAATATAAGTTTGTTGAGTTATCTTTAATACAATCCATGTAGATTATCCATTTGAGATTATGATAACTACGAAAGAATGTACCTACCGCATAAACAATAATCAGTGTACCTAACTGCTTATCGTAAACTATCTGAATAACTTGTTCAATTTCATACCTACAGGCTGCTGAAAATATGACTCTAGGTGGACCTCCTAATTTAGTTGGAACACCCCCAGCTCCTCCCCACACAGGTTATCAATCATCTCTTATGAATGTTGTATCCAGTCTAAGCGGAGATGGTCGAGATTTCGCTCGCAGTTTAGGCATGGTAAATCACGTTCACAATGCTGCAACAAGGTTTGTTGTCTGTTTTTTTTTAATATTTTAGAGTGGTTACTTATCTGGTAAAAAGATGTTAAGTCTTCCTCATGACCTTTTTTCTCTTTTCTGAATTGATCCCACTGGGATATACTTCTTGAATAATATCTTCGATCACTAATCTTTTTGATTACCTCTAAAGACTTCTAGTCCCTCTACAACTATGAGATTTCAATTGACCATTCGATCTCTCTGAGCTAATGTAGTATGTCAACTTGAACTGGTGTACCTACTTACCAAGTTCTACGTTGTAGCTGAATGACTGTCAAGTTTAATTTACTTAAAGTTACAGAATTAAGTAATAACATCAAAAATAGTATTAATAAACTAAACGATCAAGGGAATGACAAATTCCATGACTGTAAGTCACCTCATAAAGTTATCCAGCGGAGAATCTAAATAAAACGACTAAAATCTTTAAATCGCTAATAATTTTCTATCGTCTTATTATTTCTATCCATATGCATAACAGCTTGAATCATTGAAGATTTTCGACCAATTTACTTTGAATAAGTTAATTGACCGATCAAAACAAACTTCTAAGATAATTAACCTGTGACAATTGTCACCAGTATTCAATCATACATAGAACTTGGTGTGTATGTACATCAGTTCAAGTTGCCATACCACATTGTCGGTTCAAATTTCGTAGTAGTAGATGTATTAGAAGTATTAGCAGCAATCGAAGATAATATTCGAGAAGTATATCCCTGTCGGATCAATTCAGAATAAGGAAAAAAGGTTATGAGGAATTCAGAATATTAGGATTTGAGAAAAGAGAAAGAATGAATACAACTGCACCAATGCAAACGATTTTGAGCCATGTCATTCAAAGTCTCTAATCATCGGTTAGGATTGTGTTTTGGATCTCAACGAGGTAGTCTATGCCTATTAACATGGCTCAGTTCAGTTATCATCGACTTCATGGATTTTTGCCACGTTTTGGTCTGGCCGCACTTATCACCAGGGTCATTGAGTGACGTTCGTGTCTCAGAGTAAATTGATTGGAATTCGAATTGAATGTTAATCAAGGGGTCCCATTGGTGAAGTGTTCATCATGAAACCTGAAGGTTTCCAGTTCGATCCGATCGCTGTCCGGATTGTGAGTACCCACTGATTAAACAGTGGTCCTTGGTTTTCAATAATACTCCAACTGATTAACTCATAACAGATACTACTTATATATGTGAATAATATAGTTTTCTTCGTTAGTCTAACCGGTTTTGTGATGTAATAAAATAACTCCGTAACTTCCTTTTTATTTGAACTTACTTTAATGTTAATCTCATATTCCAGGTTGCAATAATTAGTTTTACGGTGTACTTGAAAAAAATCATAAATGCTCGTAATTTCTTAGGCACTTATTTTCATAGGCATTGATTTGTAATTCTCATGTAAAACCAATTGAATATTATGTAGATTAGTTAATTTTTAATGTAAAAAGCTTTACAATGAAGATAATCGGTTGTTTATAAGAATTTCCTTGCCTAGTCATATGCTAAGGTCCCAAATTAGTTTGGGATAATATAGATTTTAGAATATTAAAGATTCCCATTGTGAAAATTGGAACAACGCATATAAGCGAACAATATTGTATTCGATTAGATCGTCATCAGGCTTTACTCTAATATATGCATGAATGTTTATATGAAAGTGTTAAACCAATCAAGGCAATTTGAGTGAATAATCACAATGAAATGAAATAGATTACGTCACTCACTACACATAAGGATAAGAAAATACGATAACAAAAGTTTTATCAATAGTTTAACATTGGAGATAGATATTTATCAATTGTTTTTACCTCAGAAACAGGATTTTAGTTATTTGGCCCTATCCACAATGTTCCGTTAACTTCGATTTTTTGCTCGGATCACTTTATTTCTTCGGAATCGAATAAAAATTTATATTTTATTGGAAAAAAGGTACAAGTATTTAACAAGGTTGTCTTGTCCATCTTTTTAACAATCTGAACTGTTAAATAAGCTCCATGATTATGCTTTAAAAATATCATCTAAAAAGTACATTCTTTCGCCTAATATCATAACTTTATAGGTCACTTAGTATGAGTGATTATCCAATTCCTGGGTCTGTTTGTCAAGAAGATCGTTCTAACGATTCTCAATGTTTAGGCCCAAATACTGATAATTTGAGTTCAAATTTTATGGGTCCATCATCATCAGTTTCCTCATCTACAACACAAAAAGCTCCTAGTATTGCTGGTGCTGGACCATCAATCAACTCTCCTGGTACATTGTCATCAGTTGAAGAAAATTGTATTAGTGAAGATGACAATATGGATCTAGGTATGTATGCATGTATTTATTTAGTTTTTTTATGAAAATGTGACTAAATTAATATTGTTTAGAAGTGTCTTTGTAATTGATGTCAATCAATCGATCAACAGTAACGTTGAACTTTGCTCGTACGTACGTACGTACATCAGTTCAAGTCGCTATACCACATTAGCACAGAGATGCAATTGTCAATTTAAATCCCATAGTACTAGACGTAGTAGAAGTATTAGCAGTAAAGGAGAAGATTAGGGTTCGAATATATAATTCGAGAAGTATAATTCAGTGCGATAACTTTAGAAAGAAAAAGATAAAGGTGATGAGTATTTCAGAAGGTTAGGATTTCAGAGAACACAAAGAATAAATTCATCTGCGTCATTCCAAATGCTTTTGAGTCATGTCATTCAGGGTCTCTAACCATCGATTACTATCGTCTCGTTGGCCTTAACCAGGTCAGAAAATGTGTGTCGTCTTTAAAGTTAACCTTTTCAAACCCTCTCCTTTTGTCATGAGAACGCACCTTACTACGTTCACATCGCAGTACAATCGGCAGTACTGTAATCAATAAAAAAAAACTAAGTATGATGTTTTTATATTAGTTCTTGTGTTTTTATAATTTGAGGGGGGTCAAAATTTTCCTTCTAATCACGGCTCGATGGAATTTTGTAGGCTGTTCATGTGGCATAAAGTGATTGGACGATGATGTAACATCTCTAGTTGCTGATTGGATGATTTTTGTGATATTTTCACTCTGCACGAAAACTATAAATACACATGTTTTTATACATTTCGACACTGGGGTATAAAGATTTCCTCTGGTTTTCTTCTCGCTTTTCATTTGCTACAGTGGAGGGGGGGTTGTTCCATAAATCCTAGTGCCAAAGGTTGTATTGTGTATTAGACTTTTTAGTAGCAGACTTAGCAGTAAACATAAAGTAGCTCTGTGTAAACCAATCGTACATCATATCTTTAATCTATTGTAACTATTCAGTGTAATTTGATTAGATTCGAACGCATAGATCAATATCTCATCATGAGTCATTACATAATAAAACTGCACGAGATTAAAAAATGTAATTAAACTTTGAAATCATTCATTGTATTTCCAATTAAACGGTATACACATCTACCACACTGATCAAGTTAATTTCATCTTGCTCTTAATTTACCAACATACTTTTACATTCGTATTTATGCATAGAAGCTTTTAAGCTATGTTTGGTTAATTAGCTCACCTTTAAGATAGATATATCTACATTGTTGGACGTAAGAATATATAGGAAATTTAGTAAAACTTTTGGTAAGAAATTGAAGTGCGAGACTTTCTCACGTTTGTTCTCACAACTGTTTAGTTCTACAGTTTATATAGTGAAAGGAGTGGCTTATTCGTTAGCGCATCCAACTTTCAACCACTTGTAGGTTCAAGTTCCAATGTACACCAACTCAGCCTAGGCGGACGAGTAGTAGCAGTATCATTAACCTTCATACATAAAGTGTGGCTTAGAGCCAAGTACACCTATCCTTACCTGATTACATCACATTACTTTTGTTGATTGTGACCATGATCAAAGGGTTCACTTTCAAACCATGACTTGACTATTCTGATATGTTTACTACTAAATTGTAACAAAGTAGCTGTTGTTAGGATACGGGTCCTAGGTAAGAATGGCAAGTCAGTAGACGAAGTTTTGAAACTGCATCAGTTGAGGTGGTTGGGACACGTGTTACGAATGCCTAACCACCGACTGCCTCGACGAGCTATGTTTTACAGTGTAGGAATAGGTTGGGAGAAAGCTAGGGGTGGCCGAACCAAAACATGGCACAAATCTATAACATCACTGTCAAGTGGACTAAGTCATGTTGGCAGATGTAGGCCACCTGGTTGGGGTCCGCGAGACGAACGTCACCGATGGTTAGAGACGTTGAATGACGTGGTTCAAAATCGTTTGCGATGGTGCAGGTGTATCCACTCTTTATGTTCTCTCAAATCCTGATCTTCTGGATTCGTCAACACCTCTACTTTTGTCATTCTAAACTTATTTCACTGAATTATACTTCTTGAATATTATCTTCAAATCTTCATTTTCCCCATTAGCAGTAATTATTTTACTATCTGTACCAGTAAGGGATTTGGATTGACAATCGCGTCTCTGTGCTAATGTGGTATGGTAACATGAATTGATGTACTTACGTACGAAGTTCTACGTTGTAACTGACTGACTGACTGCGAAATGATAGTAATCGATGGTTAGAGACCCTGAATGACATGGATCAAAACTGTTTGCACTGGCTCAGATGCATTCATTATTTGAGTTCACTCAAATCCTAAACTTCTTAATTCCTTATCACTTTTTCTTTTTAAGTTTATTTCACTAGATTCTATTTTTTGAATAATATCTTCGAACCTTAATCTCTCCGATTACTGCTAATAACTACTTCTACTACATCTACTCCTATAGGATTTGAATTTATAATTGCATCTCTGTGCAACTTGAACTGATGTACGTGCGTACGTACGAGCAAAGTTCAACGTTG